AGTGCTCTGGTTGGTAAATAAGAGTCCGTCTTGCTCTTCCCTTTCACTGACTATCCACTTTATCCCTGGAGGGAGGGGAAAACAAGAAATCGAGGTAAGACTAGGCCATCTTAGGGAAACGAGGTGGCGAAACATCATGATCCAGTTGACTGTTGTTGGGGGGTGGCCGTCATGGCAGGGACTTGTGGAAGCCACTGCTGTTTCAGGACAGTCAAATGGAGCTAGGAAGGGAGTCAAGCAGCCCGCAGGGCTCAGGACACCAGAGGGTCCCACCAGTAGTGCAAGCTGCGGGATGCGAGACCAGATCCCTTAGTGCACGGAGCTCCTTGAAGCTTTCTGAGAAGGGGATGCGAGGGTTTTTGTGGGTACCTATGCCTTTATCCTACTAGCAACCCTTCCTTCAGCCTCTCAGGCATTCACTCAGCAAAATATTGGCACACTGCTGTTTTCTGGTAGCAAGCAAAATCCCACCCTCTCAGCCCTGTGGAGAGGCCCAGGTACATTGGTGGGCTGCGTTCCCTCTTATCTAGGGGCAGGCTATCTGCCTAAATGCTTTCTTGCTCCCAGCAGAAGACCTTGGCGCACAGGAACACATTCAACACTACACAGGCCAATTCCCAGAAGCCCCTAGGGATCCCAGCTCGGTAATAGGAGGTACCAGTGGCAGTATAGAGTCCCATAGGCAGGAAAGACGGGAAGTGTGCACAGGACAGAGTTGAGTTAAAAAGTAGGACATGCCAGGAATAAAAAGGGCAAACCAAGGAACACTGTTTGGTGACAACTTCAAATGGAAAAGGAAGTCAGGGAAGGGCAGTGTTGGGCTCTGGCAAAGTCAGAAGGGCAGTGGGCAGCCATGGGCTGTGTCTGAGCAGGGAAGCAGGAGAGTCAGGTTGGCATTTTGGAAAGATCATCCTGACTGCACTTGTGAGAGCATGACATTTTTGGTTTGTAAAATCATCTGTCGCCAGGTCAGACCTTTACCTATGGGGTAAATCCCCTAATAACGGATATCAAAGCCCTGCCCACATTACTGTTTAGACATAATTCTTCAGAGAGTATCACTCCCAAATCAATACACACCTGAAGTCATTATTACCAAGTTCTACTAGTAAGTATTCTTCACTCTCGATGGATGTCATGGAAGAAGTTGAAACCTTGTCCCACCCTACCAGGGAACTATCTTAGAGCTTGATGTGCCAGTCTAAGCTTGCATCTGGGACGAATGGGCCTCTCTCACAGAGCCTCAGGGGAGTTTATGTGGTCAACTCCCTACACACCAAAATCTTAGCATAAGGAACACCCTTTAGTGGTCTTTTGCTGCAGCCAGTGCAGCCTGGATAGCCAAGACTGGCGGGGTGGGGTGGGGGGGCGGGGTGCTAGCATTGAGACACGGAGGCTTCTTTTCAGGTGCAAGAACAGCAACCTTTATTTTGCCCAGCAACCTTTTATACCTCTACTCTTTCTGTGGAGACCCACCGGCCAGAAAGAACACAAACATCCTTGTCAATTACAGACCACAAGGAAGTTCCACCTTCAGTCAGGGGGAGTGAGGGCAGCTGGATCACGACAATTCTGAAATTGCTAATTTGAATTATCTTAATCCTCTGAAGGGAAACAACATTGTCTTGGGTTTTGCCTAGGCAGGGATTCAAGTTTTGCTTTTTTGTCTTTAAACTCCTACTTGTCAATAAAAACATATTTACAATTCACTTGTCTTTCCCTTGATGGCTGTAACTAGCTGTGTGAAACCTTCTGGAGCACCTTCCTCTTGTGCTTTCCTGATTTCTGGAACTACTCCTGCATCCTGCAGATTCTCTTCTGTCTAGGGGATGGGCCAGGGGGGCTGCAGGGCTTTGACTGTAGACAGTTCTGCAAGTGAAGGTCTGGAAGTGCACCTGTGTGCGGACATGCAGATTCAGACAAAGCCACCCCTCAGGAAAAACTCTATGCAGGTATGTTCCCCATCTAGCGAGTAGATGGGGCAGAGTCAGCAGGGAAAATACTGTAGAAACCCAAAAATCACATTTCTTAACCTAAAACAGTGCTTTTCAACCTGTGGGTAGCCACCCCTTTTGCCTTTTGGCATTTATCAACCTTAAATAAAACCATTGGAAAACTCAGATATTACATTATGAGTCATAATAGTAGCAAATTACAATTACGAAGTAGCAAGGAAAATGGTTGGGAGAGGGTCATCACAACATGAGGATTGTATTAAAGAGGCACAGCATTAGAAGGGTTGAGAACCACTGCCCTAGAGCATCAAGAATGTAAACAAACAAGAAGGAGCTATAAGATTTCATTAACACATTTCATTCCTGGGGCATCAGTCATAGAAGATAACTTTAAAGAAAAGTCACACAGAGTAGTAAATTACACTCACAAAGCTCCGACATTCCACTGAAAAAATATGTGCATGGGTAAAGGTTTCCTGTCAGTGCAGGGATGTGTGGGATTGGGGAGCTAGAAACCAGCAGGCAAGCAGCAGGCATCCTAAGGAGTCAACAGAATTTAGTCCCTTCCCCAAGTTCAATATGGGGACAATAGGGCTTAAAGGATCTAGGGTAAAAGGCTGAGAAGAGTGCTGGTTCCCAGACTCACATAGGTGACAGTTTGGAACACAGTGGGCCTTGCTGTTCACTTGTGGTGCATACTTCCACAGGGCACTCCACAGCTCCTGTGGGTTACACAGCAAGTACCCATCTTTTAGGGTGCTGACTCCCCGATCAGAGAGTGAAATCCCTCTGCCTCACTCTTTTGCTGAGCCCTGGGAGGAAACTACCAGAAATAAAAGAATTCCCCTCGGGGTCCTGTGAACTCTACAGAAAGAAGATGGAATGAACAGACTCAGGGGCGCCCAGAATGAACGATTGCTTATCTGCTTCTCCCAAACCCTGGGGGCAGCATCTTGGGGAATTCATCTCAGAATCCAAGGCTGGGATCCATGCAGGAGGTAGGTCTCTGACCATAGTGAGGAAAAAGCACCCAGGTTCACATTTGCAACTTGCTTGCATATGGTGCAGGGGAGTTAGGGCTAAAATGGAGGGTGAGGTTGAAACAGCCAAACCAGGAGCACTAAGATTGAGAAACAGAGTCTCTGAAGCCCAGTCCCACAGCGACACTATCTCACACTGATAAGAACGGTCTCCCAGCCAGAGAGTCTGCTGGCCAGGCAGGCACCAATTCCTTCAAGAAAGCACATGTTGGAATGCTGGGGGCTCCTGTGAGATAAAGAGCCATGGCTTTTCACTTCTGGGAGGAAGTTTGGTTGCCCTAACTGTACAGGAAGTCTTGATCATATGTGGGTGGAAGGTTCATATGCAGGAATGAACAATGGGAAGTATGCTTGCCCCTGATTGGACAAAGGTGGAAACCCAGAGTCTTGTGATTTTTGCCATTGCAACCCTCTGACTAATGGAAATTTGCGCCATGCTCTGGGAATCTCAGGTGTGGGCCTGACCAATGTCTATCATCCTGGCCAGTATTTAATAAATATAACTTCAAATTTGGGTCAAAAGAAAAGCAAGCAAGCACATGTGGCACTATTGTCCCCTAAAATAGCCTGGCTTCTACAGCAGCTAACTGAGGGAGTAGGGAAAGACAGCCTCTGAGAAAGCCTCCCGCTTCCGTGTTTCAGGAAAGCCTTTCACAGAGACGCTGGAGACAAGGAAAACAGGAAGAAAAGCAGAACAGGCAGAATAATTGCAGTTGCTTCTAGGGAGCTGTGAGCAGAAAGAGAGATAAGTACAATTAAAAGCAAGGGGGCCATAGGAAATGTCAGGGGGCACAAGGCCGCTCAGTGGCTAGTGGCTACCAGACAAGGATCAACACCTGGCAAAGCCTTAGTCACAGATGAACAAAGGGTGTGTGGTGGGAGGGGGGCTGAGCCAGATGAAGAAGGCACTATCATCTCTTTGGTGTGGGCCGGACCATATGGATCTTGGGCATCCAGGCTCTCAGCCTGTGCTATCCCAGAGAACTAAGCCGCCTCCTAACAATAACCTCAGGCACTGTCCAGACGCTGCCACTGTGATGCTGTAAAAACAAACCCACTAAATGACAGAGCTCGGTGGCCTTTGTAAATTTGGGGAATGTCACCTATCGCTGCCGCCGTGATGCTTTAAAAACAAAGTCCACTAAATGACAGAGCTCGGTGGCCTTTGTAAATTTGGGGAATGTCACCTATCTGGGGAGTTTCTCTAACTTTCCCCCAATCTCCCCCTCTCCTGCAATGCTTCTTTGATGAGACTGCATCAGAATTGCTTATTCCTCCCATCTGTAAACTTCATGGCAGTGAGACGAGTTTGGAGCCACTGACTAAGGCTGATTTGTGATGCCCAGAGATGTCTTTGGGCCACCATAGGTCCTTGGGACAAGCCCAGCTAGGTAGAGAGAGAAAGGTCTCCATCAGAACAAGCTTGGAACACTGCTGGGACTCAGCGCTTTGAGAACACAGACTCTCAGGAGGATCTTGCCCTGGCCTTCCCACGTGTTTGCCATCACACGAGACGGAGATAGCGACCACAGTGAGTGTGTACACTTGGGCAATCCACTATTTGGCACATAAATGATGGAGTCTAATTTGTGCCACTTCATTAAGGGATGCGTCTTTTTCGTTTTGGTTGAATGACATTTGCATAACTTCATAGAATGATCTAGCCAGACTCAAGGACATGCTGAGCTTGAGAAGGTCTTTGTGTGACTTGCATCCTGTGTTGGAATTTAAAGTCCAGAGGCAACTTGGAGCCACAGGTTCTGCATCCCCGCCCCAGAGACTCGCTGCTTTTCCTTTTATGTACTTCTGCTCTTTGCAACCCTAAACTGCTTCTGCTTAGGCACCTCAGAGGACAAGCCCACAGCCTGGGCAGGACAGGTTGTGTGATTGGACACATTGTAATTTGGTTGAGCCCCCAGAAGACAGCCCTTCCGGGTCAAGCGCCAGAGCAGTTCATTTCGTCGTCTGGCGCCAGACCTGTGAGAGGCAGCTTTTGAATCTGCAGGACTGTGGTGTGTCTGATCGGAAGATTCCCGGAATGGAGACTCGCAAAGACTGCTCCAACACTTTCAGCGGGATGCGGGAGCTGGGAGCTGATGGGGACCAGGAACAACAGCATGGTCAGTAAACTGGTTCCGACGGGATTCTGGCGGGGGCCAAGAAAGAAATCTAGTGGGAAAGCCAGTGGCCATGGGCTTCGGGAACTCAGCCCTGCCTGTGGCCCCTCTTTAGACCTTCCAATGGTCCCTGAGCCACGATGCTCAGACTTTTATCTTTGTGATTTTCTCTGTTTCAGGTGGGAATGCAATGGTCTTGAAGGCTGGAGAGGAAGGAGGCAAGAAAGGGCTTGAGCAGAGCAAGCCCACTCAGGGGGAGCTTGATGAGGGCAAACTTGCTCCGGGCGAACTTGCTGAAGGCAAGCTTGCTCAAGAAGAGTCTGCTCAGTGCAGTCTCGCTCAGGAAGCCACAGAAGAGGTAGAGGAGGGAGAAAACAAAGAAGAAGAAATGGGAGGAGGCCATGCTGCCGCTGGTAGTTCTGGCCCCGTGGACAACGAGGTCCACGAGGAAGGTGGCCATGGCGGCAGCGTGGATCAACAGCAGCCTCAGCCAGAGGCGGCGATGCCTGAGGGCACCAATAGTCCCCAGACTGGGGAAAGGCTGCCTGTCAAGCGCCGCACCAGATTCACCCTGTCTCAGCTGCAGGATCTGGAGCAGCTTTTCCAAGAGAATCGCCACCCCACCTTGCACATGAGGTAAGCACTTTGTCCTGCTAGGCGGCTGAATTTTAGGCAGTGTGTCCTAGCCCAGGCTTTCCTTTGGAGCTCCCTGGATCCTTGCTTTCCTCAAGAAATAGACCCACCCTGTCCTGATCCTCCCATCCTCTGTGAGAAACTAGTTTCTGGAGTAGGGGGATGGGCCCTATTCCCGCTGGGAATGAATGTGCTTTTTACCCTTTGAAGGGACACGTGCGTGGGAAATTTAAACAATGCTTGTTCTAAATGAGTCTTTAAATATGAGAAAGAAGCCAGAGGTGTGGCTGGGAAGATGTGTGGGACGGATCCCACCTCAGATTAAAATTTTGCTAAGACTTTTCATCGCGGAGGTTCTGCCTGAAGTTTTCTATTCTAAGCACATTGACTCGGTACCTGTGTTTGGGGGATTACCCTTAATTTTGGTCCCTGAAGGAAAGTTGTTGCTAAAGCTAGTCTCAAAGAAATTATGAGGAATAGTGTGATGTGGGTGTGTGTACACATGTGCACGCACACAAGTGTGGACCTAAATGATTCAAAAGCACATGGTACATGTTCCTCGATCCTTCATTTCTAACACAAAGCCTAAAATGTTGGAATCTTTTCACTTCAGGAAGGATCTTGCAAGATGGCTGGGTGTGTCAGAAGCCGATGTGCAGGTCAGTATTCTAAAGAATAATTTTGGCAGGACTTCATATCTTGTGATGCTTCTGCCTAGAAGACAGGCGTAGGGGCAGAGTGGGACCCTGAAATGGCATCCCAAGGGTGCCAGAGCAGTACACTGGCAGGCTAGGTTCAAGAAGTCCCCAGACCTCCATTTTCTCAGTAGGACATGCCGAGCTGGAGACACCAAGGTGCTTTGTCTGCCATGTGGTGGACAGACCGTGTTCTCCAAGGTGCTCTGGAGACTGCAGCCCGCATGCCTCACCTAAGTGAAGAAAGCACGTTCTTGTCCACCTTCAGCTGTCACGCTGCGTGTCTCAGAAAAACTTTTCTCCGACTTCACCCCTCTCTAGTCTGTAATGGCAGATGCCTAGCTTAGTTCTGAACCAGTACAGGGCCCAGGGACCTCAAACTGCTCTTAGCACCTTTGCCTCCCTTTGCTGGTGATGTGTGTGCACTCTGATCAGCATTCCAGGCACCCCTGGCTTTTCCAGACCACATGCCCACGAGGGAAAAGGCCTGTAGTCACTGTGCTGGGAGGCTAAGAAGGAAGCAGAGCCGGAAGAAGTGCCCTTTGTCTCATTAAATCTGCATTCTGGATACTAACCAATGCTAGCATGGTGGAAACTTTGACAGACTACTGCCTCGGGCCTTTATGGATCCTCAGGAGCCCAAGAGAAATCTTCTTAATAATTGTTGATACCACAGGGACCCGCAGGAAACCATGAGCTAGATTATGCATCCTTCCTGAAAGAATGCATTAAAAATACCAATTGATGTGGGCTGGAGAGAGAGGTAGGTCTTTAAAGGGCGGGCCTGCAACCAAAAAGTACCATTTGATGGGGAGAAGAGGCAATATTCTGGGTCTGTTCCTCAGTTGAAGGACTGGGTGAGGCTTATACGTCCCCAGGGGCTACTCAGGGGGTGTTCTTAGTGTTTCAGTGAGAATGAACCTGTTGCTTCCAGCATTCTGAACAGTCAGTATACACTTGAGGTACCTCTTCAACCCTTCTTGGGGCTACATAATAAACATGGAGTTTCTAAGCAGTCAAAGATTTGGTGCTTTGCTAAGGGAATAGCTGAGCGCTAAGAGACACCCCTAGCATACACCCAGGCCTGGGATGGGTTCCAAATATGTCCTCAAGTGTTAGCCAAGTTGAGCCAGTATACGAAGTTACAGCATGTGCTCTTCAGCCGTGATACAGTCAGTGTACTGAAACAAGGCTCTCTTCTGGTTACAGGATTGGTTTAGGAACAGGAGAGCCCTTCACCGGAGGAATACTAGACTGCTGGTGCTGTGCAGCACACCCCCTGCTCCCCGAGAACAACGATGCCTGAAGATGCTGGAGCAGCACTGAGTGCCTTCCCTGTCCTGGAGGAAGATGTCCTGCAGCCTACCCTGCCCCTAATGTGTCGGCCACCCCTGATGGCCATGACACCCTTTCCTTCCCTGCATTGATTTCAGCAATAAAGAGGTGTATTCTCAGTACGTTGGCTCCATTATTTTCCCAGGTTACCAAACTGTGGGTATAAGTATTTGAAAGATGGTAGTTTAAAATTCCGGAAATGAAATTTAAATCGGGGTGACATGGGCAAGCAGCAATCACTCTGCCTTGCAAAGGGAAGAGGACTTCTAGGTGCCAGGCTGCTTCCTGCTGACCCCACGTGGTTCTCTGCGCCCCCCGCCCCCTTCATGGACTTGTCAACTCGCTCTATCTCTGTGGGACAAGTTCTTTATAAGGGCAGAAAGGGCAAGTCCCCAAAGCAGGACAGTGTGTTTCTAGACACGGTTGTTACCACCCACACTTCAGTAAGTCCCCAGCTTGGGCTCTGTTGGAAACTTCTCAGAGCTGTCTCCCAGGTTGGTGGCAGAGGGAATGGGAACACCCTGTGAGCTTTCGCTCCCCCTCTGTGGGGCCTTCAGGGCAATAGGAGGCACACTGCCCAGAGTCCTGCTTCTTGACAGAGAGGTGAAGCTATCCGCCCAGGCAGAAGGGGGGATTCTGTCTCCTTCTTGCATTCCGGCTCAGGGAGAATATGCTCCCAGCGTGGCCTGCTCAGAGACTTGACCTTAGTGTCTTCTGCTGCATTTTGTCACCTGCCTCGGAGAACCCTCAGTACTCAAGATTTGGGGGTCTTTCCTTCCTCACAGCCCTATGATATTAGTAATAATAAGGTTGAACCCCTAGCACATGAGGAAGGAGCACAGCTTCTTTCCCTATGTGAACCCTCAGGTCCAAATAAACCAAGTTCATCTTAGGGACATGCAGAGGTATGGCCTAGGCTACTAATCCAAACTTGCTGCATGGCGGGGTCCCAATGCCTGGTCTCCTGCAATTGCACACCCTGGTTTGTTTTCTCTCTGTTCCTTTGAGTGCTCCAGGGACCTCTTCTGCTGCAGATTTGTGCTATGTTGCTTTTGGGTCTCTAAGATGCCTCCCACTGAGAAGATCTGAGAGCCCTTCCTGTAGTGGCAGGTATCAGGTACACTAGGGACGGGTCCACTGCCCTAAACCTGAGGTCTCCCCATTTCACATCTAGGAAATACTATTTTGGCACAGGTAGACACTGGTCCTGGCTCTAAGACTATTCTAGCAGTCTTCCTGACTTCCCTGTGCCTGTGACAAAGGGTAGAATAGAGATATCACATTTAGATCTGCCTGCTCCCCAATGTCTTTCGGGGCTGCCGCACCTTGACCAACTGGGTGAGCAACTACTGACCATCACCTACTGCAAATGGACTCCGGTCTGAGATGTCCAGGGGACATGATGGCCACGGTGCT